GCCGTCTCTGGTCTTTCTTGGGAGCCTCTTCGGCCGTCTTGGAGCGATCTGAATGGGCTCTGACGCGGTCGGGGACCGTGGGAAGGCGGAACATGGGAGAGCGCAAGAATGGTTCAAAAACCATTGAAAAATAAAGGATGTTCTGCTTCTGGGGCCCTCGGAGGGGCCTCTGGAGGCGCTCTTGGAGCGTTTTGGCGGCGTCGTCGGCCGTCCTGAGGCCATCTTCGGCGTGTCCGGGGCCTCTGGGGGCTGTTTTTGGGCGTCCTGAGAACCCCGAAATCATGTTGCCGGAGAGGCTTCCGGGAACATGATTTCGAACGAGGCCTTCTTGGGCCTCCCGGAAGCCGTCTTGGGGGCCTCCTGGGCCGGCTTTGGGGCCTCTTGGGCCGTGTTGGGAGGTTCAGTGAGCCCCACAAAACGACGCTTTTGGGCCGTCTTGGGCCCTCATGGGTCTCTCTTGGGCTGTCTTAGGGCTCCTCAAACGCGCTTGGGGCACTGCTAAGACGAAGCAAGGGAGTGTGCTGAAAATGTACGTTTTACCACGGGAGCGGGCCGATGTTTGCCTCTTGAAGGCCCTCTCGGGGCCCTCTTCGGCCATCTTCAAGCCATCTCGGGCCCTCGTGGGCCTCGCTGAGGCTGTCTTGTGGGCCTCTTGGGCGCCCTCGGAACCAGGAAGTCATGTTCCCGGAGAGGCTTCCGGGAACATGATTTCGAACGGGGCCCTCTTGGGCCTCCCTGGTGCCGCCTTGGGAGCCTCCTGGGCCGGCTTTGGGGTCTCTTGGGCCGTCTCGGAGGGGTTCCGTGAGCCCCACAAAACGACCCTTTTGGGCCGTCTGGGGCCCTCTTGGGTCTCTCTTGGGCTGTGTTGGGGCTCCGCGGGGGCGCCTGGGGCACTGTGAAAACGAAGCCAGCGAGCATGCTGAAAATGTACGTTTTACTACGGGAATGGGCCTGTGTTTGCCTCTTGAAGGCCCTCTCGGGGCCCTCTTCGGCCATCTTCAAGCCATCTCGGGCCCTCGTGGGCCTCTCTGAGGCTGTCGTGTGGGCCTCTTGGGCGTCCTTGGAACCAGGAAGTCATGTTCCCGGAGAGGCTTCCGGGAACATGATTTCGAACGGGGCCCCCTTGGGCCTCCCTGATGCCGTCTCGGGGGCCTCCTGGGCCGGCTTTGGGGCCTCTTGGGCCGTCTCGGGGGGTTCCGTGAGCCCCACAAAACGACCCTTTTGGGCCGTCTGGGGCCCTCTTGGGTCTCTCTTGGGCTGTGTTGGGGCTCCGCGGGGGCGCCTGGGGCACTGTGAAGACGAAGCCAGCGAGTATGCTGAAAATGTACGTTTTACTACGGGAATGGGCCTGTGTTTGCCTCTCGAAGGCCCTCTCGGGGCCCTCTTCGGCCATCTTCAAGCCATCTCGGGCCCTCGTGGGCCTCGCTGAGGCTGTCTTGTGGGCCTCTTGGGCGTCCTCGGAACCAGGAAGTCATGTTCCCGGAGAGGCTTCCGGGAACATGATTTCGAACGGGGCCCTCTTGGGCCTCCCTGATGCCGTCTTGGGGGCCTCCTGGGCCGGCTTTGGGGCCTCTTGGGCCGTCTCGGGGGGTTCCGTGAGCCCCACAAAACGACCCTTTGGGGCCGTCTGGGGCCCTCTTGGGTCTCTCTTGGGCTGTGTTGGGGCTCCGCGGGGGCGCCTGGGGCACTGTGAAAACGAAGCCAGCGAGCATGCTGAAAATGTACGTTTCACTACGGGAATGGGCCTGTGTTTGCCTCTCGAAGGCCCTCTCGGGGCCCTCTTCGGCCATCTTCAAGCCATCTCGGGCCCTCGTGGGCCTCGCTGAGGCTGTCTTGTGGGCCTCTTGGGCGTCCTCGGAACCAGGAAGTCATGTTCCCGGAGAGGCTTCCAGGAACATGATTTCGAACGGGGCCCTCTTGGGCCTCCCTGATGCCGTCTTGGGGGCCTCCTGGGCCGGCTTTGGGGCCTCTTGGGCCGTCTCGGGGGGTTCCGTGAGCCCCACAAAACGACCCTTTGGGGCCGTCTGGGGCCCTCTTGGGTCTCTCTTGGGCTGTGTTGGGGCTCCGCGGGGGCGCCTGGGGCACTGTGAAGACGAAGCCAGCGAGCATGCTGAAAATGTACGTTTTACGAAGTGGGCCGATATTTGCCTCTTGAAGGCCCTCTTGGGGTCCTCGTCGGCCATCTTCAAGCCATCTCGGGCCCTCTTGGGGCGCTCTCGGGCGTCTCCGGGGCCTCTTAAGGCATTTTAAACCATCTGTACGGCCCGCGTGGCCTGTCGTGGGCAATTCGGAAGCGGCCCGGGGCAGTCCCGGGGAGTCTGTGACCCCCCTAAGGTTCGGGGGGGCGGCCATGGGGGATGACGGCACCGATTTTGCCCCCCCCCCCGGCCTACTCATATATATATATAGAGAGAGAGAGAGAGAGAGAGTTCACACATCGGTCGAAAGTCTGTAAAAATAAGAAGTAGGAAGGCGGATAAAGCAGATTGGGTTCAGGCCATCCCAGAGAATAACAAAGCACAACAAAAGCATATCGATTGTTGAAGTAGGAAGGCGCTTAAAGTAGATTGGGATCTGGGAATCCAAAAATACCTACTCTCAATGACCGACGGGCAAGCGCGTGCGAGTGAGCCTCGGAATGGAAGGGGGGAGGGAGGAGGCGCGAAAGAGTGAGTAACGGCCTAAGATCGGGCGTTTGCAGAACTGGGTTTAGTGGAAGCTGGTTTGGTGATGTGTACCGGGGGCGCCCCCCCGCCCCATTTCCACTAATCGGAACTACCGTCACCCGAAAAACACCAGTTACGGCAAACCTGGTTTAGTGAATCTGGCCAATTGAAGGGCCCCAGGGCCCTACCACTAACCGGGTCCCCTTACCCGGGGTCCTGGCTGTACCCGATAAGAAAAGGTGCCCCAAGATCAGGAGGTCGTGAATCAGGACACCAGAGGTCTAGGCATGAGCGTGCAGTGGAAGCGATCAACGGGCGCGCCCCCCCACGGCCAGCCTGCGCGTCGCAACTGGCCGTGGCTCACGCTGCCGACTCGGTAAGCGATTGACCAGCTTGCCGTCGCTCGGACGTCCACTTCCCGTGCAGCTTTCGGTTTCGTGTGTGTTTGTTTTTGCTCGATGGTCTAGGATGGTCCTCGATGGTTCTCGCCGAGAAAAAATGCACACGTCCGAGCGATGCCAAGCCAGGGTCACTGCCGACTGAGTCTGGCACTGCATCCGATTCGGGATCGCTCACCATGAGGCGGCGCTGCTTGGTCGGAAGCGGCAACCAGAACCTGGGTCAATCCGCGCACGAGCTCGCAAGATCCTGCGCCGGTCGGGCCCAGGGACGTGGGGCGAGGGGGGCGCATCTCTGAGAAGGCGGAGGGCTTCTTTGAAGCGCCCCTGACTTCTGAGAAGCCGTTCCAGAAGCCCAAGCCCTGACCATGTGGATTTTCCGTCTTCGGCCAAAACGTGACGACACCTAGCCCGGGGGCGTCCAAGCGGGGGGCAACCAAGAGGAGGATGCGCAAATCATGCCCGGCGGCGTGTGCGCGGCCCAGGGGAGGCCAGGGGAGGGCCTGGGGCGTATTGAAACAAGAGGAGGCGCCATGGCATATGGGGAGAGACCATGGCCCCCGCCATGTTATCCACCGCCCCCCCTGGTCATCACCCCGCTCGTGGCCGCCCCCGACCAGTCTCCGACCCGATGCGGATGGCCCCCGGGACACGAGCTCGGCCCCCGGAGGACGAGGCCGAGGGGCGAGGGCGGGAATGAAGAGAGCAGTCCAGCAGAGGTCTGGGGAGGCCCCTGCAGGAAGCCCCCTCCCCACCACCACCCCTCCTCACAGAGTGCCCCTCTCCCCCTCTCCCTCTCTCCAAGGCCCCCCCTCTCTGCTCGCCGCCGACGGGCCGATCGCCCCTGCCAGCTTCCGGGGCATCATTGCAAGGCTTTCCTTCAGCGCCCCGCACAAGCCGGCAAACTTCCCGGGCAGGCCTTCCGGTTTCCGCTCGGGTGTCTCCTCCGAGCTTCTCGGCTGACCGCGCATGTTTCCCAGAAAGCTCCTTGGAGAGCTCAGGCGTGCCACCGCGCTCTGGGGTGGCGGTGGCCCCTGCCTAGGGAAACCAAAACGGCACCGATGCTGCTGCTCCCCGGACCTTTCCAGGGAGTAGCTTCTGACCAGAATTTCGAGGCGAAGCCAGCCATGGCGACGAGGGCCTCCCAGGAGGCCCAAAAAAGACGAAAACGAGCCCAGGGTAGCGGGTATGGTTACCTGCTTCTCCTCTGAGGAGCGCCCCCGCCCCGCATCCGCCCGCCGACCTACCACCCAGGTCATGGCGGCGGGGAGGCGCGGGCGGCCGCAGGCTCGGCAGCACACGGCCCCCTCGCGAACCCCAGGCCCAGCGAAGACGACGACGGCGACGACGACGACGACGACGACGACGACGACAACGGCGGCGGCGGAAGCGGTAACAACGCGACGACAACGACGACGACGTCAGCGACAACAACGACGACGACGACGACGACGACAACGACGACCAGAACGTCGACGGCAAAGACGACGACGGCGACGACAACGACGGCGACGACGACCACCACCACCACCACGACGACCACGACGACCACGACAACCACGACGACGACGACGACGATGACGACGACGACGACGACGACAACGACGACGATGGCGACGACGACGACGACGACGACGACGACGACGACGGCGTCGGCGTCGGCGTCGGGGGGCGGCGGCGGAAGCGGCGACAACGCGACGACAACAACGACGACGTCAGCGACGACGACAACAGCGACGACGACGACGACGACGACGACAGCGACGACGACGACGACAGCGACGACGACGACGACGACGACGACGACGACGACGGAAACGACGAGGGAAACGACGAAGACGACGACAAAGATGGCGACGTCGACGACGACGCAACGAACGACACCGACGAAAGCGAAAGCCTCGACGACAACGGCGAAGATGACGGCGGCGCAGGCCTGGCTCTGCGTCCAGGGCCCAGAGAGCCAGCGGCCGCCTGTCGCCCGCTCGTTGGTGCATACGGCAGGTTCGTGCGGCGTCGGCGCGCGCAAAGGTTTTTGCCACCGCGTCGATCGTTCGATCTTGAATCGATCGCGGCCCTGATTGTTCAAGGTTGAATCCAGTCGGGTCCAATGGCAGTACCGCGCCCATCGGTGCTTCCGCGTCGCAGAATTCAACCTTCAACGCCTTCGCTGGCGTCGCCAGCGCGTCAACGCCGCACGAACCTGCAGTACCCCGATCATCCGGCACGGCAGCGGGCGAGACGAACGACGGAACGGCGGAGTCACGCCACAAGCTCCGAGGTGTTCCGGGCAGGAGCCCCTCGCTCGCGCAGGCATCAGCGCAAGGACATCAGGCTGCTGCTGCTGCTCCTCGATCCCTTCTCTTTATACTTCATTCCTCGCTGTCGCACCTGCGGGCGTGTCGGTAGGGCGGGCCTGGAATGTCGCCTCAGAGTTCGTTACCACTAATGCTCCTGAAACTCGAAGTGCACAACCGCTTTAATGTGATGGAGGGCGGGCAATTTTCAAAGTGTAGCTCTCGCCTCAGCACCGCGCACATTCGTCTCAAAAGGTTGCAGCAGATTCAAGGATGGAGGGCGGTTCATCATCATACTGTGGCTCTCACCTTGGCGCCGCACGCGTTCGTCTTAAAAGCTTACCCCAGGTCAACAGATTCGTACGGTTGAGGCCCCTGGAACTACGTTCTGGCACGGAATCGGACTGTTGGGGCGCAGTTGTCACGTTGTTTCGCGGTGTTGCATGCCCAGGAACAGTTTCGTGAAAAGATTGAGGTTTGTCTGTGCGCAACTGTCGTGCTGATTGGCGGCGTTGAAGTCCCAGGAGTGGTGTTTTGGGAGTGAAGATTCTCAGACGATTGGTCTTTGAATGGGCATGTCCTGCAGTGAAAACAAATTCTTGTAGAGACCTGTGAAGAGGAACCTTGAAGGCAGGGTTTACACTGGTGCTCCTCCTCCTCCTCCTCCTCCTCGTCCAACTCCTCCTTGTCATCTTCCTCCTCCTCCTCCTCATCCTCCTCCTCCTCCTCCTCCTCCTCCTCCTCCTCTTCCCTTGTCCTTCCTCCTCCTCTATGACTTTTCCCTACATGCAAACCCAGACTCTCTGAGACATCCGTCCCCCTCCCTCATCCTCCACTCCTCCTCCTCCTCCTCCTCCTCCTCCTCCTCCTCCTCCTCCTCCTTTTCCTCCTCCTCCTCCTGATCCTCCTCCCCCTCCTCCCAGGACTCCGTTTCCCCTCCTCCACTGCTCTTCCTGTCCCCAGGACTCCTTCCTCCTCTACTCTCTCTGCTCGTGCCCATCCACCTCTCCCGTATAATCAGCTTCCCCGTGCCACACCATCAGACGTGTCCGTCGGCCTGGCTAGACGGCCCGCGTGAGACCTCCTTTCACTGTACGATCGTAGGGGCGAATAAAACCCCCACCACTTACAAATATTATCTTTTCCTTTTCCCTGAACATCTTGTGGCGTTGGGTTCTCACTGTGAGCATGCAGCGTCCCGTGTTCCTAACTCATCCTCATCCCCTCATTCCTTCCCCCATCCACGCCTATGCCCTCCACGGGTGCTCATCACCATCATCGTCATCATCATCATCATCATCATCATCATCATCAGCATCATCAGCAGCAGCATCATCATCCTCATCATCAGCAGCAACATCGTCATCATCATGGGCAGCATCATCATCAGCAGCATCGTCACCACCACCACCATCAGATGCGTCATCATCATCACGACCACCAGCATCATCATCATAATCATCATCGGTGTCGTCATCATCAGCATCCTCAGTATCGTCATCAGCATCACCATCATCATCATCATCATCATCATCAGCAGCATCATCAGCATCATCGTGATCGCCATCATCGTCGGCGGCATCGGCATCGTCATCGACATCGCCGTCGTCAGCATCATCATCAGCAGCAGCATCATAAGCATCATCGTCAGCATCAGCCTAAGCATCAGCATCAGCAACAGCATCAAGTGCATCACCATCGTCATCATCAACATCATCATCCTCATCATTATCAGCATCATCAGCATCGTCATCGTCGTCAGCATCATCAGCATCGTCATCGTCGTCAGCATCATCATCAACATCCTCATCATCGTCGGCATCGCCGTGATCAACGTCATCATCGTCATCCTCAGCATCACCATCCCCGTCATCGTAATCCACAGCAGCAATGTGATCATCCTCATAATCACCATCTCAGCCATCATCAGCGTCAGCAGCATCATCAGCATCAGCATCCCCATCCTCGCCAGCATCATCACCCTCATCATCACCATGATCAACATCATCAGCATCATCATCATCCTCGTCATCCTCCTCATACGCATCGACGACATCATCATAAGCATCAGCATCAGCATCATCAGCAGCATCGCCAGCAGCATCATCATCATCATCATCAGCATCATCATCATCCTCGTCATCCTCCTCATCAGCATCGACGACATCCTCATCTGCATCAGCATCAGCATCATCAGCAGCATCGTCCCCATCATCATCAAGATTACAGGCATCGTCACTACAATCATCGTCATCAGCATCGTCAGCAGCAGCAACTGAAACAGCATCACCAACATCAACATCATCATAAGCAGCATCGTCACGATCATCATCGGCATCGTCACCATCATCATCAGCAGCATCATCATAATCATCGTCACCATTGTCATAATCAACACAGCATCGTCATCATGACCATCGTCATCATCATCAGCATCATCAGCAGCAGCAGCTTCATCATCACCATCGTCAGCACGAGCAACACCATCGTCATCATCATCATCAGCATCATCAACAGCAAGATTGCCGTCGGTATGAACATCACCATCAGCACCATGAGCATTGTCGTGTTCATAATCAGCATCAACATCATCAGCAGCAGCATCGTACTTAGAAGAGTCAGAATCGGTCATACTCATCGCTATCGTCGTCATCATCAGCAGCAGCATCAGCATCAGCATCAGCATCATCAGCATCATCATCAGCATCAACGTCGTTGCCGCCACCATGATTGTCATCAACATCACCATTGGCCACAGTTCAGAATACAAGTCACACGTTCTGTGGCCTCATAGCTCCACTGAAGGCCTCAGTGCCAGTGCTCACATGCGTCTCCCACGCCCATTAAACCACACCCTTCACAGGCGTCGTGACCCCGTAGGGACCTCCACCGAAGGCCCCACTGGCCGTGCTCATATACGCCTCCTCCACCCAACTACAGCCCAACCCTCACACGCTTCGTGGCCCCATTTCGATCTCCACCGAAGGCCCCAGTGGCAGTGCTCACATGCGCCTCCCCACCAATTACGGCACACCCCTCAGACGCTTCGAAGCCCCATGGGGAGCTCCACCGACGGCCCCAGTGGCAGTGCTGACATGCGTCTCCCCCACCAATTACGGCACACCCCTCACACGCTTCGTGGCCCCATGGGGAGCTCCACCGAAGGCCCCAGTAGCAGTGCTCACATGCGTCTTCATCAACAGCACACAACTCACAGGCTTCGTGGCCCAACACTGAGCGTCACCGAAGGCCCAAGCGGCAGTGCTCACATGCGCCTCCTACGCCCATTGCCTGCGGCAAACCCTCACACGCTTGGTGGGCTCGTAGTGAGCTCTACCGAAGGCCCCAGTGGCAATTCTCGCATGCGTCTCCCCCGCCAATTACGGCACACCCCTCGCACGTTTCGTGGCCCCAACGGGAGGACCACCAAAGGCCCCAGCGGCAGTGCTCACACGCGTCTCCCCCGCTCAGTACGGCACACCCCTCACACGCTTCGCGGCCCCATAGGGAGCTCCACGCCTGACGATACTCACTCACAACTGCGCCACTCACAACTGCGCGTGGTGTGGCCCTTCGCCAGGATAACTACCTCTGGACCACTGCCAAGGGTCACTGAACGCACCCCTCAGGGCCCTCCAGCACCGCCGCCACCCCCAGCCAACGGGCACCGTCCGAGGCTGGCTCGGGCGCAGCTGAACACGCCTCGACACCTGCTCCGCCGGCCCTCGAGAGCCGCTCGAGGCGAGTTCGGGCACCGCCCGGACCCGACTACGGAGTATCCGATCGCGGCTGCGGCTGCTGGAGCTCCCAAGGAGCGATTTCTCCCACCCACAATGATCTCCAAGCCAGCCATGGTGGAGAGAGATGGTAGCAATGTGGGAAGTGGAAGAGATCTATGGAGAAAAGGACGGCGGGGGGGACAGAGGAAGAAGATACGTCCCCACACACGTGCCTCGCTGGAGGACTCATCCTCGTTTTCTCCTCTGAACCACTGCCCAAAGGTCAATAAAAGCACCCCTCAGGGTCGCCAGGGACCGGCTTTTCATCCGGCATCGTTGTTTGCGCGGTCCCAGGTCCAGAATTGGCCTCCAAGAGGCCGAGCATGAGCACGATGAGCAGGCCAGGGCGGGCGGTGATTTTCGAGTTCTCCTACTTTTGCCCACCCAGGCTCCTTCCATTGCCCCGCCCCCGATATCTGACACCGTGCCGCGAGGCACGGAGTGGAGTGGCATCGGTCCCTTGGAGACCTCTGTATCTAAGATCGAAGTTGTGCTTTGCGCGGGGGGGGGGTCAGGGGCCCCATTGCCACCTGCCGATTGCCAGGTCAGCTCGGGCCTGTCGCGTGACTCTTCTGCGCCTCCTCGCACTGCTCTTAGAGGGGTGCAGACGCCCACTGGAAAGCCTCGTGCCAGGGCTTTGGCCCCAGAGGTGAAAACAGCGCATGCACGCCTTGCGGTCGCACATCTCGACGAGTGAACACTCTGGCGACAGTGACAGGGACGGTCCCCCCAAGAGCACCTCGTGCGATTGCGACATTGAAAGCGCCCACACACATATACATACATACATACATACATACATACATACATACATACATACATACATACATACATACATACATACGTACGTACGTACGTACGTACGTACGTACATACATACATACATACATACATACATGCAATACATGCATACATATACATACATACATACATACATACATACATACATACATACATGCATACATACATACATACATACATACATGCATGCATGCATACATACATACAGACATACCTACAAACCTACATACATACATACATACATACAGACAGACAGACAGACAGACAGACAGAAAGACATGCATACAGCATACATGTTTGCACACATACACAACGTTGTATCACAGTACATTACATTAAATTACATTACATCACATTACATTGCAGTACATTATATTACGTTACATTACAGTACATTACATTACACTACATGTTATTACATTACGTTACATTACCTTACATTACATTACATTACATTGCATTACAAAGCATTGCACTGCATTGCATTGCATTACATTACATTACATTACATTACAACAGCCTACAATTACATTTCATTGCCTGACATGACCTTACAATAAATTGCATTACATTACATTACATTAGATTGTATCACGCGTCATCAAATTACATTACAATACACTACATTACACTCCATTACACTCCATCACATTACATTGCAGTCCATTACATTACGTTACATGCCATTACATGTCATTTCATTGCACTACATCACACGACATTACATTACAATGCATTACATTACACATACATCCATCCTTCCATACAAACAGACAGACAGGATGCACACATACGCCGCACAGCATGCCAAACCGACCCCGGGAGGCGTCACGGTGGTGGGATAGGTCATCAAACGTGTCACCCGCAGGGTCCGAGCGGGCGGGGAGCAGCGGGGGTCGAAGGCGGCTGGGAGGTCTGCGCAGATTGGGCCCCGCGAAAATCGGAGGGGGGGGAAGGCAAATGCGCTCAAACGGCCCCGAGACCCCGCGAGGGCCCCCACAGGCTGGAAACTGTGAAAAACCTCCCGTCCTGATTCTGTTCGTGACTCGAAGGGGGTCTGGGTTCCACGCCTCCATCATGCGATGACCCCCGCCGCCTTCCGAGAAGCCTGCCTCTCGGCGCGCCGCCGACGGATCACTTCTCTGGGGCGGGGGGGGGCACGCCGTAGGCAAGGTTGAGGCGTCGGGGGTCCTGTACAATAGGGTAGGGGCGGCAGGCTCGCGTCTTGTCGGCGCGTCCGACAGCGGCTCCCAGACGCCGACGATCAGTGCTGGGCCACCTCGGCCCCCCAAGCCCGCTCCAACTTGGACGCCCGAGATGGGTGCGGAAAAAAGGGGCACAATGCCCAGCAACCAGTGTTGTCCAAAACCAACAAGCGGCCGCTGATGGGCAGGCTGCTGCTTTGCGCCTGCCAACAATATACACCACCGCCATCACCACCACCACAACAACCACCACCACCACCTTCATCCCCCCTCCCCGCCTCCAGCCTCTTCTGCCTCCCCTCTCTCCCGAGAGAGGGTGGGGGTGAGGGCGGCGGTGGTGGTGTACAGTCTTGGGCCCCGCACGTTTGTCTCCAGTGAGCAGCGCCCGCGGCGGCGCGCACGGCGATTCCTGCTCAAAGTGCCCGGGCACTGCTGTCGGTCTGTGCACCCAGTCCTTCCATGCCCGCTCCGATCGTCCCGATCCACGGCGCGGGCCCCTGGCGCCGCGCAGCACGAGGGCCCCCCGACGCGCCCGCGCGGCGTGCGCCCCCCCCTCGCGGCAGCGGCCGCCCGCTCCTGAAGGCCAGGGCGGCGGCGGGCTCCGGCAGCGGGCCGACGAGCACCTCCCACAGCGACCGCCCCGACGGCAGCCGCTCCTGCCCGGCGCGGGGACGGCGCGCGGCGCTCCGACCCAGCAGCTTGCCGTCGCTCGGACGCCCATCCAGCGCGCATCTGCCGGCCTCGTGCGTTTGTGCGTGTGTGCCGCGAGGTGGTCCAGGATGCTCAGGGATGGTCCTCGCCGAAAAGCGAGCACGCGCCCGAGCGATGCCAAGGCGCCTGGATGCGGGAGGGGGGGAGGAGGAGGAGGAGGAGGAGGAGGAGGAGGAGGAGGAGGAGGAGGAGGAGGAGGAGGAGGAGGGGGAGGAGGAGGCCCTCAGGCCCCCGCCTCTCCTGCTCCTCGACCCCGCCTCCCTCGCCCTCCTCCTGCCCCCCTGCCCCCCCTCCCCCGCCCCCCCCGCCCCCACCCGCCTCCCCGAGCTCCCTCCTCCCCCCGGGCAGCCTCCCGCGATGGACCAGCCCGGGCCGGCGGAGTGCGCCACATTTTGAAAACGGCGAGCCCTCCTCCTGCCCCCCCCGCCCCCAGGAGGAGAGAGGAGGAGGAGGAGGAGGAGGAGGAGGAGGAGGGAGGAGAGAGGAGGAGGAGGGGGAGGAGGAGGGAGGAGGAGGGAGGGAGGAAGGAGGAGGAGGGAGGAGGAGGGAGGAGGGGAGGAGGAGGAGGGAGGAGGAGGACCTCCCGAGCTCCCTCCTCCCCCCAGGCAGCCGCCCGCGCGAGGGACCAGCCCGCGGCCGGCGGAGTGCGCGAAGCGATCCGGTGCGCCCGGCCTCCGACCCGTGGCGCCTGCGGGCATCGCGCGCAGGCGCCAGCCGCCGCTCGCGGGACGCACGGGTCGGGGTCCGAACTCGTTGGGCGCCGTTCTCTCTCTCTCTCTCTCTTTCTCTCCTGGCCTCCGGGATCTGTCTCTCTCTCTCTCTCTCTCTCTCCTGGCCTCCGGTCTCTCTCTCTCTCTCTCGGTCTCTCTCTCTCTCTCTCCTGGCCTCCGGGCGCGTCCTCGTCGGCCGCCGCGGCAGGAATCTCACGGAGATCCCACTGCAAACGCACGACTGGCGAGGCACACGGCGTCCTGCAAGTCAGGAGAAATCCCCATGTCTGAGAGAAGTTGCCATCCATGGCTCGAGCTAGTGGACGGCGACGAGGTACTGTCATAACGTCCAGAGGCGAGGGCCCCGCCTGAAAACAAAAACAAGCCACAGCACAATGAATGCACACCGTCTCCGGCATGGACGCAACGCATTACGCTCAATGTAAAGCCGTCCCAAGCGAAAGCCGCGAGTTGAAAAGGAAACGCCCTCTATCCGTGCAGATGCTCCACGCTTGAGATCCGACCTATGGGCATGAAACCGCCCCCCATCCGTGCAACTGTGAGGAATGTAAACGACGAACGTGCGCGGCGCTATGGCAAGAACCACATTTTGAAAAGGAGCCGCCTGGCGTCTGTGGAAATGCTGGGAACGTTCAAAATGAATATGTGCGGCACTCACGCGAGAACCACTTTTGAAAATGAGGTGCCCTCCATCCGTGTAACGGTTGGAAGCCGTTGATGACGAATGTGCGCAGCGCTCAGGCGACAGCCACATGTCGAAAACGGCGCACCCTCCGCCCGTGTAACGGTTGTTAGAGTTCGAGAAGAATGCGCGCGCTTTAAAGAGAGAACACACATTCTGAAAACGACCTGCGTTCCATCCGTCCACCTGCTGGAAACGCTGAAGACCTATGTACGTGGCGCTCAGGCGACAACAACATGTTGAAAACGGCCCGCCCCGCAACCACAGAGCGGTTGAAACAAACAAGACCAATGCCACTTAGCTTCGCCTCTATCAAGGGGGGTGTAGTGGCGGGAACTGTGCCCGCAACCTGCCCGGCCCGATGTTTGTTCGATCGCGCCCGAGTGTGGCCGAAATGCTTGGCTCGAAGTTCGAAGCCAATACGATCGTCAATTTCAGCCACACGTTCGATCACACTACGTTTCCGGTCCCAATTCCGGACGCACGTTCGATCACATCTTTTTGTTCGATCACGCACCTTTTTGGCCGATACAGGCCGGGCGCTATGACGAATGCGCGCGGCGCTAGAGCGAGAGCCACACGTTGAAAACAACCTGTGCTCCATCCGCACACCTGGTGGCAGCTTGTACTGCGAATGTCTGTGGCGCTAAGACGAAAAACACATTTGAAAACGACCCGCCCTCCACCCGTGTGACTGTTGGAAGTATCCGGCTTCGGCGTCACGGAGGAAGTCTCAGGCGAAATGCTGGGCACGACTGATAGACAGACGAGGAAGAGTCATCCACAAGGAAAAGGGATGAAGAATGAGGGAGATGAGGAGATGGAGGAGGGAGGAGGCAGCAGGGATGAGCGGGAAGGAGGGGGCGGAGGGGGAGAGGGGCAGGAGGGGGTGGTGGGGGTGGAAAGGGAGGGAGGACGATGAGAATGAGGGGCTACCGAGCGGGATACTGAGCCAGATTAAGCCAGATTCGGGCCCCACTGCTCTTCATTCCACTCCACTCCACTCCACTCCACTCCCCTTTCTTCCCCCTCCTCGGTGCCCACTGCCGAGCGGCGCACGAGGACCAGCGCCGCTGCCGCGTGCGCCTGGGGGGGGCGGGGGGACCGTGCGGATGGCCGTCGCGCACCCCTCGTCTGGGACGGTGAGGCGGTGAGGGGGGCGGAGGGGGGGCAGGCATGGATACGGAGAGGCATCTGCACCCCACGAGGCCGAGGCCAGGATCAAGCAACGGCGAAGCGTCCTGGCGTGCCTGTAGGCCTACCAAACAATGTTCTAAGAACCTTTTGTGGTCTGCACGAAATGTTCTTAGAACATGTCTGCCCCGGCCCGTCTTGTTTTAACACGTCGGGCTCATGTTCTAAGAACATTCCTTTTGTTATTAGAACGCGTTTGAGGTCTGACCACATGTCTTGGGAACCCCCAAACCAGGTGGTGAGATACCAGGTGGCGACCTGGAATCCCCAAAAAGGTCACCGCTGGGTTTGGGGACGCGGGGTCACCGCCAGGTTTTGTGACTCCTGGACTCACCAACGTTCGGGACATCCTCGTAAAACCGCACGAGTCCCCAAACCGGGTGGTGACACCAAATCGCCTGAGACTCACCGCCAGGTGTTGTCACCACCACGTTTGGGGACTACCACATGTCGTGGTAGGCCTATAGGAATGCCGGGACGGGCGGCCCCTGCTCAACAGGAGGTGCACACTTTTTGGCTGCGTCGGCGGCTAGGCAGAGGGTGACTGCGCTGGCGGTGAAAGGCTGCAACGGGGATGCCGTCAGAGCGCAGTGTGCCACCGTGCAAAAGGGAGGAGGGAGAGAGGACGCGGCCGCAGGAAGACAGGGACGGAGCGGTCGGCTCATGGGGTCAGAACGCTCCCCGAGCGCGTGGCGCGGAGAGGAGGTGCCCACACACAAGGAGGAGCACACCCGGCACGCGCAGAACCCTTCGGAGGCCTCGCGCCGAGCTCCCGGAGCGGCGCCGGCTCCGCCCCCCCCCCCCCCGTGGCGCGCGGAGGGCGCCCGGGGGGAGGGGCGCCCGGCGCCGCCGTCCACGAGAGTGTCCGCGCGGACCCTCGAGCGCCGCTGCCCGTGCCGCTCTGCGTCCTCGAGCGCCGTCGGACCCGGAGCAGAAGGGCATCCCTCGAGAGCACGGCGCTCCCCCTCGGAGTCAAACGCAGGGTGCTTCCCACGACGTGGCGGCGCCCCGGGACCCCAAACGCTTCCACGTTCGCGCCGGCAGAGGCGACCGCTAACACCAAAAATCGGACCCCGTGGGCCGCGATTTCGCGCGGCCCTCGCCATTCAAAAAAAACTTGCGCTTGACTTCGAGGGGGGCATGCAGGACAGAAGAGCACCCCTCGCGAGCACGCCGCTGGCCAGGAGCACACGGAGAGCACCCGAGGGGCGCCCGCCCCCCCAGGGGTGCACGAGAGCAGCCAGCGGGCGCGACGGGCAGCAGGGCGCCCTCCCCGAGAAGGGACCTCGCTCTGCGTCGGCCTCGGCCCGACGGCACGTCCCCCCAGGGCTCTCGAGACGGCCCTGGCCAGGCGCGGCGGGGTAGATCCCTCCCTGCCTTAGGCGGGAGGCACAAAGACATCCCAGTACCGTATGTCCTCCTCGGAGGCGCGCGTCCGACCCGAACGTGTATGACGAAGAAAGTCCTGGAGGCCTCGCGAGGCAACTTGAGACCCGATTTACGTCGGATCCAGGTCGGATTTACGTCGGGTGTACTTTATGTTCTCAGGAACATCCTGGAGGCCTCGCGCGGCGCGTGATAGTAGCATGATCCAGTCCACTTGTCAGTTCCGTAAGCTATGGGTCGACGCTCGCGCGGCGATGCTCCGGAGTCAGTCCGACGTAAATCCGACGTAGTCCGCCGTGAACCCCATCTTGTAGTACATCGTTTCCCGAACGGTGTGGCCAGAAAGCGCCCGCCACGACGCAGAATATAAGATTTCTCGGTGCGCGCGTGGCCCCTTGCGGGCGATGCACACACAGTATAAATATGTTGGGGTGACGCCGACAGGGGCATGCCTGGTACTCCTCCCGTAGTAGATCCCGTAGTACTCCTCCCGTAGAGGGGCATGCCCGACTTGATCCTTGCCATCGCTCGAACGCCCCTTCCCCGTGCACAGTTCCAAGCCTCTGCAAACAGGGCGTTAGTAAACGGGCCGGTATCTAAGGGTGCGTTTTCAACTGTGTTTTCCAAAAAAATGATTTGTGTCGACCTTTTTGTCGTCCCGATTCATCACGCACTGGTGCGAGGTAGATGCCTTGTCACCCCGTTCTCGCTTGAAGAGGCCCCTTAGCTACCACCCCGTTTGCCAACGCCCCGTTTGCAGGGGCTTGGCTTTTTTTGTCGGCCCTTCGTGTGCTCATGTTTCGCACGATGATCCAGGATGCTCCTCGATGGCCCTCGCCGAGCAAGCAGGCCCACGTCCGAGGGATGCCGAGCCTCTTGAGAAAGAGAGGCGCCGGCCGCCCGCACAGGCGGCCAGAGACGTGCAGGCGCCTCGCGCGAGCGAGGGGGGGGGGGTCCGTAGCAAGCCCACCGAGAGACGGAGTCGCCGTTGGCCGGGACGCCCCCT